TTGCACATTTATTTTAAAGACTTTATTCATTATTTGTGTATTACCAGCACGTACACATATGTGTTTGCATTAATCATATAGTATGTTTACACCATAGCACCCACTAAGGCACTATTACTTTAGGAGTATTCACTGTGCATGTGATTTATATGTAATATATGTAATTAGTGGTATAGTCACTATTCACTATATTGATACACTTTAGTAGTATAAGCTGTATATACTAGTATATAGGAGCGCGGCGCATTCGTTTTTCTATCGTCCTTACAGGATGTCTCCAATTTACAAGCCGACCTCAATACTCTGTGTAATTGGGCAACTATGTGGCAAATGAGGCTTAATGCTGATAAATGTAAGGTTCTGCACTTGGGGGCTAAGAATATGCATGCATCATACATACTAGGGGGGGTACAACTGGGGGAATCAATAGCGGAGAAGGATTTGGGGGTTCTTGTAGATCACAAGCTTAATAATGGCAGCAATGCCAAGCTGTGGCTTCTAAAGCGAGCAAAATCCTCTCTTGTATTAAAAGAGGTATAGACTCCAGAGAGAGAGATATCATTTCCCCCGGTACAAATCATTAGTAAGACCTCATCTGGAATATGCAGTTCAGTTTTGGGCACCAATTCACAAAAAGAACATTGGGGAACTGGAGAAAGTATAGAGAAGGGCAACCAAACTGATAAGAGGCATGGAGGAGCTCAGCTATGAGGAAAGATTAGAGGAACTGAATTTATTCTCTCTTGAGAAGAGGAGATTAAGGGGGGATATGATCTCCATGTATAATACATAAGGGGGGATATGATCTCCATGTATAATACATAAGGGGGGATATGATCTCCATGTATAATACATAAGGGGGGATATGATCTCCATGTATAATACATAAGGGGGGGGATATGATCTCCATGTATAATACATAAGGGGGATATGATCTTTTCCATGTATATAATACATAAGGGGGGATATGATCTCCATGTATAATACATAAGGGGGGATGTGATCTCCATGTATAAATACATCAGTGGTTCATATAGTGAACTCGGTGTAGAGCTATTCACCCTGAGATCATCACAGAGGACAAGGGGGCACTCTTTACATCTGGAGAAAAATAAATTTAATCTCCAAACATGGAAAGGTTTCTTCACAGTGAGAGCTGTGAAAATGTGGAATAGATTCCCTTAAGAGTTGGTTCTGGCCAGCTCAGTGGATTGCTTTAAAAAAGTCCTGGATTCTTTCTTAGATACACAGAATATAACTGGATACTAACATTTATAGGTGAAGCTGATCCAGGGAATATCCAATTGCCTCTCGGGGGATCAGGAAGGGATTTTGTCCCCTGCAGGAGCAAATTGGATCATGCTTTGTTGGTTTTTTTTGCCTTCCTCTGGATCAACTGTGGGTAGAGGATTATAACTTTTTTTTTTTTTTGTTTAATGGTTGAACTGGATGGACTTTTGTCTTTTTTTTTTTTCAGCCAGACTAACTATGTAGCTATGTAACTCACCGGCCACTTTATTAGGTACACCTGTTCAATTGCCTGGTAACAGAAATTGCTAATCGTCCAATCACATGGCAGCAACTCAATGCATTTAGGCATCTAGATGTGGTAAAGACGATTTGCTGAAGTTCAAATCGAGCATCAGAATGGGGAAGAAAGGGGATTTAGGTGACTTTGAATATGGTATGGCTGTTAGTGCCAGCTGGGCTGGTCGGAGTATTTCAAAAACTGCTGATCTACTGAGATTTTCACGCACAACCATCTCTAGGGTTTACAGAGAATGGTCCGAAAAAGAGATAATATCCACTGAGCAGCAGTTGTGTGGATGAAAATGCCTTTTTGATGTCAGAGGTCAGATGGGAATGGGCAGACTGATTCAAGATGATTGAAAAGTAACAGTAACTCATGTCAATATGGACCCATGTCTCTTAGGAATGTTTCCAACACCTTGTTAAATCTATGCCACAAAGAATGCAAAGGCAATTTTGAAGGCAAAATGGGGTCCAACCCAGTACTAGGAAATAAAGTGGCCGGTGAGTGTATATTGCATTTACCCCAGTACCTGGCCTCAAGGAGCTTACAATCTAAAACTGGCCATACATAGTTCAGTTGTTTTCACTGAACTATGTATGGGATCCTCCCACTGTGTCATTGTATTCTGGATTCCCATGCCTTTAGAATACATTGAGCAGTGCTGCAGCTGATTGGCCGCATGTGCTGATTAAAGCAAATTTTCCAACAAGGCATTTCATGTAAAGTCAATTGATAGATCAGCCATACAGTGGGGAAAATAATAATTTGATCCCCTGCAGATTTTGTAAATTTGCCCACTTACAAAGAAGTGAAGGGACTATAATTCTTATCATGGGGGTGTATTTTAAAAGATAGACAGAATATCAAACAAAAATCCAGGAAAAACACGATACAAATGTTATGAATTGAGTTGCAGTTCAGTGAGTAAAATAAGTATTTGGTCCCCAAGCAAAACATGATTTAGTACTTGGTGGAGAAACTGTTGTTGGCGAGCACAGAGGTAAGATGTTTCTTGTAGTTGGTTACCAGGTCTGCACACATCTCGGGAGGGATTTTGGTCCACTCTACTTTATAGATCTTCTCTAAATCCTTAAGCTTTCTTGGCTGTCGCAAAGTTTCAGCTCCCTCCATACATTTTTTTTAATAGGATTAAGGTATGGAGACGGGCTAGACCACTCCATGACCTTAATGTGCTTCTTCTTGAGCCACTCCTGTGTTGCCTTGGCGGTATGTTTTGGGTCATTGTCATGTTGGAAGACCCATCCACGACCCATCTTCAGTGTTTTGGCTGAGGGAAGAAGGTTCTCATCCAAGATTTTACAAATCGGTCTGTAAATGCGTCAAAGTTGGCCTGTACCTTTAAATAATAAATAACAGCCTCAAAGCCTAATGTTTCCACCTCCGTCCTTGACTGTAGTGATGGTGTTCTTAGGGCCATAGTCAGCATTTTCTACCTCCAAATATGGCGAGTCAAGTTAATGCCAAAGAGCTCAATTTTTTTTTTTCTCATCTGACCACAACACTTTCTCCTAGTCCTTCTCTGAATCATTTAGATGTTCATTGGCAAACTTCAGACAGGCCTGTACATGAGCCTTCTTGAGGAGGGTGACCTTGTGGATGCTGCAGGATTTCAATCTATGGCAGTGTATGGTGTTACCAATGGTTTGTTTGGTAACTGTGGTCCCAACTGCCTTGATATCATTCACAAGCTCCTACCGTGTATTTCTGGGCTGATGCCTCACTTTTCTCATGATCATCCTTACCCCATGAGGCGAAATCTTGCACGGAGCTCCAAACTGAGGGCGATTGATAATTATTTAGTATTTCTTCCATTATTTTGTATTCAATTTTTCTAGTTGAATTTATTCTGAAAAATATGGGAAACCTTGGAGAAAGTGGTTTAAAAATATCGACCGCTTAAAGTTTACATTAGGACAACACTTGAAAGAAAAAAAAAAGGATTGAGTGCATCTCTTGGCAAACTGCTCAGAACCACCCACACCACCATCTACACAACATAAGGACCAATTATTCCGTAGTCCCGGGATAAGGACTGGGACTTGGTCCAACACAGGATATGGACACTGACCACAGGACAGCTCTGGGTTTTTTTTGTATTTATCAAACAGGTAAAACACAATCTTTTAAATATTTAAAGTGTTACTAAAGTAAAAAAAAATGTTTTGAAATAAAATACCAAACATATTATACTTATCTGCTCTGTGTAATGGTATTGGAGTGGCCCAGATCCTCCTTTTCTTGGGTCCCCCGCTGGCAATCCTGGCTCCTCTTCATGGGCAAGCCACTTGCTATGGGGCTGCATGCTCCTGAGTTGTGTACCTATGGAGCCGCGCTCCATGGACTTACACAGCAGGGCTTAGTCCCGCCCCCACTTCCTCCTCACTACATTTGATTGACAGCAGTAGGAGCCAAGGTAACAGGCGATAACAGCTGGATAAGGAGAATCAAGGGTCTGGGGTGGTACTACAGCAGATGCTGACTAGCTTTCCAGGAGAAACTGTTTTGCTGTAACTACTTGTACATAGTTCAGGAAGATTTTCTCAGTTCCATTGGGTATCCTGTACACCCCTTACCCTATCCAAGATGAAATCCCTCTAATAAAAATCCAAAAACAAGTTGAAGCAATGGTTACTGACTACTGAATGCAAATCGGTGTGGAAATTCATGTTGCCTGGCTGTGCAGGACTATAGAGGGACCCAAAGGTTCCGCAACTCGATCCCCTCATGTTTTGTATTGTATTGTTATTGTTCTGTCCCCCATTGTAATGTACAGCGCTGAGCGAACTCTTGACGCTTTATAAATACTGTATAATAATAATAATAACTCCTAAGGGGGTAGTGCTATACACATACTAGGGCCAATTTAGATTGGAGCCAATTAACCACTTCAGGTCCAGCCACTTTCACCCTCTTCCTGCCCAGGCCAATTTTCAGCTTTCAGTGCTGTCACACTTTGAATGGCAATTGCGCAGTCATGCAACACTGTACCCAAAATGAAATTGTTATTTTTTTGAGACAGATAAAACTTTCTTTTGGTAGTATTTATTCACCACTGGGATTTTTATTTTTTTGCTATAAAAATGAAAAAAAAGATGATTTTAAACGTGTTTTTTCTTATAAAATTTTGCAAATAAACAATCTTTCTTCATAGATCTAAATCTTCATAAATAACCCAAATCAGTGTATAAAAAAATTATTATAATTTTAAATTTTTTTTTAACTCATATATGTATATATATATATATATATATATATTTTTTTTTTTTTTTTTTTTTTTTTTTACATACCGTCGCCCTAGCAGTACAGTCTTTTTTTTTACACCCATAAAGGCTGGAAAAGCAATCATTTCTAGTGCTCTCTGGCTGCATTCCTGCAGCCTCTGAGAGATACAGTGAGAGCTGTGATTGGTCACAGCTTCTCACATGGTACAAGGCTGTTGTGAATGGCCTTGTACCATGTGACCTCTGTGATCATTCACAGAATTTTCAAGTAGTAAACAATGATGTCAGGAAGTGACATCTTGTTTACTACTGTTCATGTGATCACTGATTGGCCAATCACTGATCACACGAATCAGGACCTCACACAGAGGTCCCATACATCGATCTGTGTTCCACTGTGTCCGGTGGACGTAGCGGGCACAGATCGCGGTGCTGTGAGCTCCCAGGCAATGGTTGCAGGGGGATGTTTAGAAACGTCCCCCCCCCCACATTGGCAATGTTCCTTTCACCCCCAAATCCAATCACTGTCCAAATCTTGTAGACTTCACCTCCGCAACATCTCCAAGATACGCCCATTCCTAACCTCGGAAACCACTAAGCAACTCATTCACTCCCTTGTTATATCTCACCTTGACTATTGTAACTCCCTCCTCATTGGCCGACCTCATCGCAGGCTATCCCCTCTTCAATCTATCATGAATGCTGCTGCCAGACTTATCCACCTTACTAACCGTTCTGTATCTGCCACCCCTCTCTGCTAATCCCTCCACTGGCCTCCACCCCTCTCTGCCAATCCCTCCACTGGCCTCCACTCAGTGTCCTCCACCCCTCTCTGCCAATCCTCCACTGGCCTCCACCCCTCTCTGCCAATCCCTCCACTGGCTTCCCATTGCCCAACGGATAAAATTCAAAGCATTAACAATAACGTATAAAGCCATTTATAACTCTGCCCCAAATTACATCACCGGTCTTGTCTCCAAATATCACCCAAACCGTACTCTCCTCCTCCTCTCTAGCTCCCTTGTCTCCTCCTCCTTTTCTAGAGCTTCCCCCATCCTCTGGAACTCTATACCCCGATTTATCAGACTATTGCCTACTCTGCTCACTTTTAGGCGATCTCTGAAAACCTATCTCTTCAGGGAAGCCTATCCTGCCCTCAGCTAATAATGGAATCTTCTACTCTTCCAACCAGTCCATCCCCCACAGTTACTACCTTTTGTACCACTAGCCCCTCCCTCCTAGATTGTAAGCTCCAAGGAGCAGGGCCCTCAAATCCCTCTTGTATTGAACTGTATTGTTGCTGTATTGTCTCCCGTTATATTGTAAAGCGCTGAGCAAACTGTTGGCACTATATAAATCCTGTATAATAATAATAATAATTCCCGCTCGGCCGTTTATCGGTATGGGCCGGACAGGAAGCGGTTAACCTACCAGCATATCTTTGGGGTGTTGGAGGAAACTGGAGCAGGCGCGCGGGAGTCTGGGCCACGGCACAGAGCTCTGAAGGTAATGCATGCGCGGTGACGTCATCAGCTGCAGAGACACTGAATATCTCCAAATGGCGCACATGTAGGAGATATTCCTTGTACTTACAGGAAGCTTTATTATAAGATTTCCTGTAGTTCCAGGTGTCCAGTGGGAGATTACTTCTACTTTGAGACAGTGGTATAGAAATACATTAGATGCGACTTCAGGTGTGATTTGTAAATCGTATGTCGCACCTGAAGTTGTTTAGGTGTGAACCAGGGCTAAAAAAGAAATGAAAGGTAAAACATTTATGTATACATGAAAAAAAAGTTGCCTAAGGAGCTTAGAGAGCTGGGGGGGGGGGGGGGAGAAGCAGCATCACATTGGTCTTCCCAGTAAATGGCTGTATGGGGGGGGGGGGGTTGATCATTGGAGGAGAGCAGGTTGAATTCCCATCACAACCAGAAAACTGACCACACTGTGCTCTCATACCTAGTATGGTCAGTTTTTAATAGGAAAGCAGAGAGACTGGCAGGAACACCAGGGATTTCACACAAAAGAGAACAGGATATGTTTTCACACAAGTACATGGTACAGCAGGCACATACAGTATCAGGAATATGAAATGTTGGGTTTACATATTCTTTCAATGAAAATGTATTTGTCTGGAGTTCAGCTTTGATTTCAAATGTATGCCATTTATATGTGCCTTTGGCTTTACCAAACATACTTGGAGGATAAACCTGACCAATCCATGCAATTAGTATCAAATTAGGATTTTATTTTGTTGTCTGATTTCATCTGCATGATAGAAAATAGTATGTGCCATCCTGACCTACAACTAGATGATGGCTGAACATTGATTAGTTGTTATATGCAGCTCCAGCAGTATTCTATTTGCATTTTTAGCATGAGAACAAAGGGGATTGATGGCGATATATTGATATGATCCCTGATCTTCTTATCTGTCACTTTCTCTTGCAGTTCTCCTCGGTGTGTTGGTGGATGTGTCCAGTGGGATGAGGAGTATTGAGGTGATCCCTCCATATCCGGTCATCGGGAGATCTGTCACTCTGAGTGTTACTGGGATTACTGGGACAATTCAGGCTGTTGTTTGGTATAAAGGACCGACCACACACGCAGAGAATATGAAGCCGTTCTATATATCACTGGTGATAATCGAATATTTCCTGGACCTCTGTTAATCCGTGATAGGATGACAGCTTTCCCCAATGGATCTCTACAGATCTCCAACCTAAATATCTCTGATGAGGGAAATTACCGAGTGTGGATACAAACAGATAAAATAATTGATACCAATGTACACCTGAAAATCTATGGTGAGTAATCCATCAGAAGATTGTCAGATTTATCCACAATGGACTCGTGTTTTCATGTAATAGTTTCGGGGGTTATAGCAGACATCGCCTTATTCCAGCATCAGCTCCATCCCTGCAGTTCAGGATCTTCGGTGTACAGCCAATCAGAGACTGTCGGCGCCACAGCCAGTCCAATGCCAAGTGATTTTTTTTTTTTAAGGGCCAGTGCATGTGTTACTCAGCATTAAGGGTGAAACCCGAGAACATAAAAAAAAAAAAAAAAAAACACAGGGGTTCTAGCACCCCCCTATATAACCTAAAGTACCTCTTCAGCTCCAGCAATGTAGCCGTACGTCACTGGAGTTTGAGCCGTTATACCAGGATGACGCTTGCAGCCACAGGCATCATCCCAGTACTATCTGTTAGAGCCAGCAGTCTGCTCTTTTGTAAAAGCGATCGTAGTGGTTAACTAATAATTAAGGCTACGTTCACACTAGCGTTGTGTGCAGATGGCAGAGAGGCGTTTGGGAAGCGTTTTTTACCGCTTCCCAAACACCTCTGACAATTCTGCACATTGCAGCTCTTGGTGCTGTTCTAACGGGAGCGTTAGTGTCTTGTCGCGGCAAAACGGACACCTCTGGTCGATTCAGGAGGCGTTGAAGCCTCCTATTCTAGTCTATGGTGCCGCTCTGCAAATGCCCGGCTGGCGTTTGCGGTGCGGTTGTGACGTGGTTGCGGGGCGTTTTGTGGAGCGGTAACACCATTCAAACATCATTATAGGCGTTTGTGGGGTGTTTTTAATGCTCGGCAAACGCTTAGCAACTGCCGCTGAACCGCGCATGCGGCGTTTGCGGAGCGTTAAAAAACGCTCTGCAAACGCTGGACCAATGCTTGCCAAACGCTATAGGGGCGTTTGGCAAGCGTTGGTAAAACAGTCAAGTGTGAACGAGCCCTAAGAAAGGTGCAGCGCTAAAATAATATTAGACCAAATGGTAATCCAAATAATAAATCGTAATATGTAGGTCATAAAAGGAATAAAATATAACGTTCATAAAGTGACAGTTCGTGCTAAGGTGCCAGTCAAGGACTGATAATTACTCCAAAATTCAGTGATGTGCCAAAGGTGTAGTAAAAAATACGCATTTACCATAGCATTTTAAATACATATGTAAATAATATAGCCGGGGGTTCCCTTTAAGGATGGAATGGATGAGATAAGCCGAGTACGGATTCTCTACCGGTATACAGCCCTGCGGATGTCTCCTGGGTGTGCAAGGATTGGATCCAGCCAGAGGTCCCCTTAAAGCAGTGGTTCACAACCTGTGGGTCGCGACCCCTTTGGGGGTTGAACGACCCTTTCACAGGGGTCCCCTAATACCATCAGAAAACACATATTTCCGATGTGTAAAGAGCAGCTACTGTGTAGAAAGCAGCTGCTGTGTTGAAAGCAGCTACTCTGTTAAAAGCAGCTACTCTGTTAAAAGCAGCTACTGTATAGAAAGCAGCTACTGTGCTGAAAGCAGCTACTGTGCTGAAAGCAGCTACTGTGTAGAAAGAAGCTACTGTGTAGAAAGCAGCTACTGTGCTGAAAGCAGCTACTGTGTAGAAAGCAGCTGCTGTGTAGAAAGCAGCTGCTGTGTTGAAAGAGCTCAGCTACTCTGTTAAAAGCAGCTACTCTGTTAAAAGCAGCTACTGTGTTGAAAAGCAGCAGTATTGGAGGTAAAACGGCACTCATGAATTATAATTACTGGGTAAATAATTTTATGGTTGGGGGTCACCACAACATGATGAAATGTATTAAAGGGTCACGGCATTAGGAAGGTTGAGAACCACTGCCTTAACGGATGGATGGGAGTTTTACATCCTGTAGTAGAAAACTCCCTCCTCTGGGTTCTGTGGGATACTGCAGCTGCCTTCCAGGGTGGGCTCTGCAAATTAATTCAGCTCGATACGGAGCCAGACAAAGAGTAGCCCATAGTTCAGTATTGCATTAACAAATTTCTTGAGAAATCCACGTGGTAAAGCATTTAAAAACAGGAGTAAAAGTAATCATGTGTAGTATTGTGGAGAGGGACTGACCATCCACCAAGCAAGATGGCCACCGGACCTTCACGAGGCTCCTCCTTAACACGTTTCGTGCCACGCACTTCTAGGGGTTGCTAATTAAATTTAAGCTCTCACTGATCTTTTTACCTAGTAGTGGTTAACTAGCCGCTCGATCGCTAATACAAGCAGCAGGAGGGGACGTCCCCCGCCGCCTTCCGCTGCTCGCTCTGGCTCTCCTGTCCCTCCAGGAGACCCAAGCTATCAGCCGGTGCATTCATTGGCTGGTTGGACACCCAAACAGAAAAAAAAAAAAAAAAATCGACTTTGATCAGGGTCTCCACTATGGTAACCCGGAAGCAATGACCTGACGTCACTTTCGGTTTATACGGATGTCAACAGCGCCATTATCAAAAACTAAAATCATGGAGCTTGGTGTTTTGAACGCTTTTAAGTGCAGAGGAGGGATCTGGGGTCTTTCTGATAAAAAAAATTAAAGTGACAGTGTAAAAATAAATACATTCAAATAAAATAAATAGAAAATGTTATGCACCCCCCCCCCCCCCCATCGTTCCGTGCTCAAGCGAATGCAAGTGTTGCTTGTCTGTATGTAAACAGCGATCGCACCACACATGTGAGATATGTCAGATCAACAGCAATACTTCTAGCATCAGACCTCCTGTGTAACTCACAAATCTCCTTAGGTGACACTTTAGAAGATTTTACAGGTTACTAATTTAAAGTACTGTAGGTTGGCGCCATTCCAATCTTAAAGCATGACATGTTACACATTTTTTGACCCGACCTAACATCATCTTTTATATTTTACGAAACAATTGGGTATTATATTGTGTTTTTGAGCATTTAAAATTCCATAGAGGTGTATTTGAAAAAAAAATGCGTTTGAAAACTGCTGCGCAAATATCACGTGACATAAACAACCATCATTTTATGCTCTAGGGTCTCTGCTGAAAATATATGTAATGTTTGGGGTTTCTAGGTAATTTTCTAACAAAAAAAATAACTAAAAAATTTTTACAGGTAAATATAAAGTGTCAAAATAGGCCTGGTCTTGGAGTAAGACCCCAGTCACACTGAATGCGAATTGGCATGCGATTTCCATGCCATGCGACTTGAAAATCGCAGCCTATTGTCCACAATTAGAGCGGTCATAACGATCCGATTTGGTCAGAACCGCACCGATTTCTAAAGTAGTACATGCAATACTTTTGGTGCGATTTTCATAGATATCTGTATCAGATGTCTTGCAAATTGCACCTGAAATCAGCATGTCATCTATGAAATCGTGCGACTTCACTGTAAGTCGCACAATATCAAAGTAAGTTTGATGTGACCGGGGGGTTAAGATCGCATGCTTGTTTTTCATGTTTATTTTGCACCAAGTGCAGTTTTATATTTTTGTTACAATTGTGTAGTTGAACCAGAAAGACCTTCCTGTAGTAGAACTGTTCCCATTTTTCTCCCCCTACAGACATGGTTGGTAAACCTACAATCACAATTTCCTCCTCGCTTCCTAAAGAAAATGTTTCAGTCACCTTCACCTGTACCTCTACTAATGCAGAGAGAATATTATGGAGCAGGGTCCCCTCAGGAGCCCCTCTCCCTTCTGGGGCCACTCTATCTCAAGATAACAGGACTGTCTCCTTCTCCAGGATTCACCGTTCGGACTCCGGAGATTATAGATGCCAGGCTAGTAACCCTGTCAGTACGGAGAACAGTGATCCCGTCACAATGACCGTGGCGTGTAAGTAGCCGGGACTGTCATGCTAACAGTAAAATACAAAGTATCCTGCCTGTAATCAAGCTTAGTATAGGGGAATGCTGAGCCAAAAACCCATCTTTCCTGCTATTCATGGCTCTGTTTGGGAGATTTACCCTCATTTGTGTCCCTGTTACCAATCCCCCACCACCACCCTTCATGTCTGTTGAAACCACTGTCAGCAGGACAGGAACTGAAGACAAATCTCCCCAAGGCTCCATTTCACACTTGTGCGACTTGTCATGCGACTTAGAACACATAAAATTGCATGACAAGTCTCAGCCCATGTATTGCACTGGAAGTCATTTGGATGTATGCGACTTAAAATCACAGCGACTTTAAAAAGGTCCCTGCACTACTTTGATGTGACTTTCATGCGACTTGAGTGCCATAGACTGCAATGTAAACTCTCAAAAGTCACATCTTGGTGACACTGTACTACTTGTGGGGGGTGATGAAGATTTTTTTTTTTTCTTTTACACTGATTGCTTTTACACCCATATAGGGGTGTGTAAAAGCAATCATTTCTCTTTCTCTCTGTCTGCATTCTTGCAGTCATTGAGAAATACTGTGTGAGCTGTGATTGGTCACAGCTTGTCACATGGTACAAGGCTGTTGTGAATAGCCTTGTACCATGTGACCTCTGTGATCATTCACCGATTTCACACGTAGTAAGCAATGATGTCACAAGTGACATCTTGCTTACTACTTTGCATGTGATCACTGATTCGCCAATCAGTGATCACATGATTGGGATTTCGTACAGAGGTCCCGTCCGACGATCGGTGTTTCACTGTGTCTGGAGGATCAAACAATTGGGTATTATATTGTGTTTTTGAGCATTTAAAATTCCATAGAGGTGTATTTGAAAAAAAAAAATGGTTTGAAAATTGCTGCGCAAATATCACGTGACATAAACAACCATCATTTTATTCTCTAGGGTCTCTGCTGAAAATATATGTAATGTTTGAGGTTTCTAGGTAATTTTCTAACAAAAAAAAATAAATAAAAATTTTTTACAGGTAAATAAAAAGTGTCAAAATAGGCCTGGTCTTGGAGTAAGACCCCAGTCACACTGAATGCGAATTGGCAACCCGCCCCTGGACTGCCACCGCCCTGCCGTTTATAAACAGCAGGCGGACGGCAAGAGGTTAAGTTCTCTATTGTAAAGGCAAAATGTATTTTTTAGTCTTGGATAGAGTGGAGATGGATTAGAAGCCCTGTCAGGTTTTTATTGCTGTCTCTGCCCGTTAGGGTGATTCACCCTCTCTATTTGTCCTGTTTATTGTGATCACCGAGAGTAAAATTTTGAGATGACATCGGCAAGATACAACCAGTCTACTGCAGCACTGGATCAACAGGTTGTGGCTCCCAGAAGCAGCCCTGGCAAGGGATGAAAAAACCTAAATGGGTGATCAGGGGACAGGAGGGAGGGGTAGTAGGGTATATGGGCTTTAAGACACCTTACACTATGTGCACCGATTATGGCAACATAGCATCACACTTTATGTGGTAGCCCACAGCAATCTATTCTTGCTATGAAAGGCCCAAATGGTCATATTTGCTCCGTGAACCAAAAGTTTCCAGTTCTCTATTACTTTCAACATTAGGGATTTTTTATTGTGGTAAATAATATATGAAAGTTGTGATATTAGTTTCTGTGGGAAATCGCATGATTAAGATGGTATTGCTCTATCACAGTGTTGCGAAATGCTGCTTTACACCACCAAGAGTTGCACAACATAGTTTTGTCTAAATGTCACTGAAGTTTCATTTCACCTAGAAACTGATTTGTTTTTAAAGAGTTTTTTTTTTTTTTAACAATTTTCACAGCAGCTTCACATACACATTCTACAATATCCTGCAGCTGCAAAAGAAAACCAAGATTTTAATATTGTAGAGATCAGACGAAATGCTATTTAAATAATGTGAAGCAGCACTTTGGATGTGATCCCCTAATTCACAACAGCTGCTGTACCAAGTGCTATGCTAATCGTATCAGCCCTAATGCAGGCCATAGACGGGTAAAATAGGCCGATTTTTCTTTTTAAAAAACGAAAAATCGGTCATTCAAGCGGCCGACTTTACCAGCAACGGTAAAAAAAAAAAAAAAAAAAAAAAAAAAAAATCGGCCGATTTTCATCCCGTCTACAGCCGGCAAAAAGTGTCCCTGCAGAGAGCTCTGCTATTTCTTTGACAGTTCCTTGACATTTATAGCAGTTGCAACAATGTATCTATTTGTATCCATTTAGGATACAGATGTTTTTATTCGGAATACAAATAGATACATTGTTGCAACTGCTATAAATGTCAAGGAGCTCTCTGCAGGGACACTTTTTGCCGGACTGGAATTACTCTTCTTTTTCATCCTCTTCTTCTTCCTCTTCATCTTCCTCTTCATCTTCTTCTTCATCCTCTTCCTCTTCTTCTTCTCTTCTTCTTTCATCCCTCTCTTCTTCATCCTCTTCATCCTCCTCTTCTTCTTCATCCTCTTCTTCATCATCCTCCTCCTCTTCTTCATCATCCTCTTCTTCTTCATCATCCTCTTCTTCTTCATCATCCTCCTCTTCTTCTTCTTCATCATCCTCCTCTTCTTCTTCATCATCCTCTTCTTCTTCCTCTTCTTCATCCTCTTCTTCTTTTTCTTCTTCTTTTTGTCTTCCTCTTGCAGGTCACTGCTCATGCGCAGATTTTTTTATCGGTAAAAAAATCGGGCCGATTTGCCCATCATTGCCGCGAAAATCGGGCCGGCCGATCGGCAAAATCGGCCATTTTTTTTCCAACTTTACCGATAAAAAAAATCTGCCAAAATACCGAAAAAAACGGCCAAACAATTAGCCCACTAATGATCCGAAAATCGGGCCAATTTTATTTTCAGCCGAAAAATCGGCCGATTTTTGACCCATCTATGGCCTGCATAAGGCTGGGTTCACACCTATGCAGTTTGCCTTTAAACTGTTTTTTGTACCTGCAATTTTGTGTTATAAATTTTTCTTCTTGCTAGGCAGCTTTAAAACTCAAAACGCATCAAAAAGGCACTACATGCTTTTCTGCAGCATTTCCATTGATGTCAATAGAACCAAAAACGCAACTTTTGCGCTCCAAAACACCATGTGAAAGTGCAGAGATGTGAACACGTCCCATAGGAAATCATGTTAAATGGACTGTACTGCGTTTCAGGAAAACGTTGCGGAAAACACTTAGGTGTGAACCTGGGGTTATATATACTCTCTTTTATACAGCACTATTGTTTTTTACTTAAACGTGTAATAAACAATCCTATTCTCTACAACCCTCATATCCTGAAATAACAATTAAACATGATTCAATGGAGTGTCCTTTGTGCTGAAGTAAAGTCTCTCTCTGTGCATATATAGTGTCCATGTGCTTTCAGTTATTCACAGTATAATGCACAAAGCCTTCAAACTTATTCAAGTGTCCGTGCTCAAAAAAGTGCTCCATTCCCAACAATCAGTGCCATCGAGTTCCCGAAATCCTCCACCATGAACACAGGACCAGGGGCAGACTGACAACTCATGGGGCACCCGGGCAATAGGGGATCATGGGGCCCCTGTGTCCTTGCCCAAACTCAAAAACGCCTATGAAAAAGGTACCAGGGGCATCTCATGGGGCCCCCTACTGACCCTGGGCCCTCGGGCAGTGCCCGAGTTTCCAAATGGTCAGTCCGCCCCTGCACAGAACACTCACCAGACTTATATGATTACCTATCACAGGTGAGTCATACAGGGCTTGGTATCATGGATCACCACTAGAGATGAGTGAATCGAACATGACGAAGTGGAATTCGTTCCGAAGATTTAGAAAAATTCTATTCGCGACGAATCCGAAGATTAGCAAACTTCGGATGCACGAATCGAATTTTCCCAAAAATGGCGGCGACATGTGTGGCGACGGAGAAAATGGACAGAGAAGATGGGGCGGGGATCTCTGGGAAGGGCGCGCAGACAAGGCCCATAATGCATTCATGACATGTGATCGCATTAGCCAATCAGCAGCCAGCCAGCACTGCGTAATGGTGGAGCTATAAATCGCGGCCATCTTAGAATTCTCCATTAGCCTCCGGTCATTCAAGAGAGACAGACCTCTGTGTATTAAGGGACAGAGTTAGGGCCACAGAGACTTTAGGGCCACAGAATCGTTACTCAGGGACACAGAATCGTTACTCAGGGACACAGAATCGTTACTCAGGGACACAGAATCGTTACTCAGGGACACAGAATCGTTACTTAGGGCCACAGCTATCAAAGAATCGAAAATTTAAAGTGACATACACCCTTTTTTTTTTTGGTGGCTGTCGTGCACAGTTGGTGCTGCAGTTTGCCGATTGTGCTCACGCTGCTGACGGCTTCCGCTTTTTAACCTAGGCCTGTGTATGGCTTCAGAATAATGCTGCCTACACCGTCACCCTGCGCCATGTGCCTCTGTCGTCTGCTCACGCTGCTGCCAGGTCTATACTGATTCATGGCCCCCTGTACCGGCTCCTCATGAACGTGGTTCAGCGGGTTTGCATCACTTAACGGCAAATCGTTGACAAACGCTGGGACGTTCAGTGTTGTGCGCATTAAGCCAGACACCAAAGGGCAGCACAGACCTGTTATTACTCGCTCAAGCATGGCTGAACAAAACCAGTCTCTACCACAAATTGGACCCAGACCTGCCCAGGGTCTCGTAAGTAGATTGCACGGAGGAGTAGAGTTCGTTATTGGAATTAACTGTGAGGGACTTTTAAACCTAGGCCTGTGTATGGCCTTCAATTGAAGCTGCTTCTGCTCCGCCACTCTGCCATTGGACTCTTGATAGTCGTCTCCCCACGCTGCTGCTGGGGGGACTTTTTAACATAGGCCTCTGTATGGCCTTCAATTTTAGCTGCTTACGCTCCGCCACTCTGCCATGGGCCCCTGTACCGCCTCCTCATGCTGCTGCCAGGCCCGTAATCTGCCATGGGCCCCCGTTACCGACTCCTCATGCTGCTGCCAGGCCCGTAATCTGTCATGGGCCCCTGTACCGCCTCCTCATGCTGCTGCCAGGTCCAGAGTGTGTCATGGGTCCCTGTACGGCCTCCCATTGCTGCTGTCTCCATCGCCACACTCTGCCATGTGCCACTTTCAGGTCTCCTCACACTGCTGGTGGGTTCCATTTTGTCATAGGGTGCTGTATGACCTCCCATTGCTGCTGCCTCACACCGCCACACTGTGGCTCTACACTCTGGTTTTGGCCCCGTGACTGCCCAAATGAGTGAAGTGTGCGGTGATTCTAAGATCGACGGCACTCATCTGCATGTCACACTGACTGACAGTATTATTTCTCTTCCCCAGCAGACTCCAAGGGCATTTAAATTAAAGGTACAGTGTTCTGCACTAATATAAAGGCTCTCTGAAGCCTAGAAACACCCTTTTTATAAGTTAAATTCGCAGCGAATATATTCGGCTCGAAGCAAATTTATTCGCGAATTCGGCGAATCAGCCGAACCGAATTTTTGAATAATTCGCTCATCTCTAATCACCACCATCAGTCTTCTTCTTCTTGGGCCAGCTGCACTCTCCCCTTTTTAAATGTCTCACACAACATGTAGGGAGAGATGGAGGGAGACTACCATAACATGAAATCTTGAGAACGTCAGGAAGAGGAAACGTCACTTCTGGGCATGGCAGGAAGGGATGTCAAGCGACACCGGAAATGGTCAATACAGGAGAAGGTGGCGGTGAGAGAGCCTAGAGCCAGATCCATGTTATCCCTATGCTTATGATATAACATGTGGTTTTAATCAAGTGCAAGGGTATAACGTTCTCAAGATTACACACTATGGTAGTCTTCCTCTATCTCTCCCTACATGTTGTGTGAGACACATTTAAAAGGAAAGAGTGCAGCTGGCCCAAGAAGAAGGCTGATGGTGGTGATCCATGATACTAAGCGCTGATTGATAATTATAAAACCACTCCCATTAGATTCACTTTGCATATGGACACAGACAGTTCTTTCATCAGAATAGCAAAAGGCAGGAATCTCTTACTCTTTAATGAAATAAAAATCTAAAACATTACAGTCTTTAGTAATTATGAAAAAAAAAAAAAACTTTGTAGTTTTTTCATGACTTTCCATACAATAGACACCAGGACCAACATCAAGGGGGGATG